TTAAGAGATGTCTGCGTGATGTGTACTACTGAGAAACCTAAGCACAGTGCTGCACGGCGGCAGATTGGGTACCTTGCTTTGTCTGCTTCCCTGCCCCTCAAATGCCTTGTGTATCGATGCCCTTTGTCAGAGAGGTGCAGGTTTCTTGCCAAGATCTAACTCGTCCTTCTGGCCTTATGTGTGGTGTAGTGTTGTGCATTCTTTACAAGTCACATCTATTAAGCTCTCTTCAACTTGCAAATTGGTGAAATGATGCCCCTTGGTCTTGGCGTGTTAACTGTCATGGTTGCCTGGTTACCTTTTTGTCTGCCTTTGCCACCTTCCAAAAAGCGTCATGTCTCAGATAAGAAACAAAAATACTTTTGTCTCACCAGGCAGTTTTTAACCTCACTGTGATCTGTTGTTGACCCCACCTGTCATGGCCACTGGTTTTAATTGGAACAGTTTTATCAGGACAAAAGCTGGTAGTTGTGGTTGTGTGCGCCAGGTGGTACATTGGAGCTGCAGGGTCCTTCCTGGGTCTTTCTTTTGACTTCCTTCCTTTACTTTTGACGCTTATTGCTGTTTTTTTTTTTTTTTTTCTGAAGGGGAAATCTTTTGGGCTCTCTTTTTAGACTTAGCATCTGATATGAAAGGTGGAGCTCTAACATGTCAAATTGGTCTCACCCCTCAAGGCTTTAAATCTGACTTTACATTAAATCATGGCAAGATATGAGGGAGGAAGGCAATGGGTCACTTGTCTCAATTCATCTTTTCCCAGACCCTTATGATTTTTGTGTTTATGGAGTGCTGCTTTATTTATCAGCCCAAAATGAACCACGGACCAGCCTGTGCTACAAGTGAAACACAAGAGAGAGCTGTGCAGAACGGACAGGATGGGAAAGTTTCCTACACCTGTTCCTGAATGTTTGTTTTAGTTGGTCTTGTTTGTATTGTCTTATTCAACCAGTATGTATCCATTGTTAATCACATCTGATCAGTTCTTTCAATGATACTGTAATTCATGCAGTTTTAAATGTACACAAACCCAACATAAGTGCTTTGGACACTGTAACTTAAAAGGAAACAAAGAAACAAATGAATACCCGTCTATGGTGTGATCAGCGTTTGAAGTGACTGTGTGTGTGTGTGTGTGTGTGAGAGAGAGAGAGAGAGCGAGAATCATGCTTGAGAAAGTGTAATGTGTGTGTGACATCTTTTATCTAGATAGGACATGATTTTTGGCTGCAATTTCAACTTTCAGCTTCTGAGCTGCATGTGAAAACCAGTGTAAATAATGTCATTTCTACTCTTTTTGAAATGCAAGATAAGTTCAAATTATTAAATCTGTCACACCACCTACATGGGTCAGTACTAACATGTACAATAGGAAGTTGTGCTCACAATCCTGTTAATGTTTTTTTAAGCGGGTGTTGAAAGTGCACATCTGACATATGGATTAATTGGAGAATCGGTTTTTGCTTTTTATTTGTTAGGATGAATTCAGTGTGTAAAGGGCTTGGAAGAGCATCTGAATTGCCATCATGTTCACGTCCCCCGTTGAATAAAAAAAAAAGTGCGTATTTTGAAAACCAAATCTGTTTGTAACCCCCAGGCCTGTCCTGACTGTAAAACAATATGGTATCAGATTTGTTGGGGAGGGTGGAGGCATGATGTTCACTTTTTCCAGTCAAGCTTGTCATGTCGAGCTGAATCCCAGTTCCATGACCTTGAGGTGAGTGCGACTGTCAGACTGAAAGTCCAAAGTGATGATTAAAGATGAGAAGTTGTAAACTATTAAATGGGATATTTTCAATTTATGCTGTGTATTATTGTCTTTGGGTTGGAGAAAATGATCAAGCAAATAAAAAGTCAAATAAAAGTCTAGTTGAACTATTAGTTGTTTTCTTGGTTTGGTGTAGAAACTTGATCTATTCAAAGTGAGTGCCAGGCTTATCTGGGTTTTTCTTTGTGGCATGTAATAAAAGGGTCTGCACTGTGAAACAAAAATATATCAGCTGTCTGAAGCTTGGCTCTATGTATTTATATGGAGGCAGCTGTCAAGATAAATCTAAGGGGTTGTAAAATGACTAACAGCACAAGAAAGACAGTTTTTCTCTTTTTGCTTATTTAAAATATTGGCTATTTTCACTCTTTGGGCCTCAAACTATTGTTTAAGTGAAAGTATCTGATATATAGAGAAACTAACTTCCTGAAATGTCACAAGGAGCCCTCGACTACACACTGCTTTTTTTTTTGTAAGGGCTCACAAGTAAAAGTGATGCAACATGACTATACATATGAAACTTGTGTAATTTTTCAGACCTGACCAATGTCATGACTTACAAGGCGTGAAAAGTGGAAAGTGGTCCTCTGCCTTTGGTGAAGCAATCATTACTCAGTTTATTCTGCAACTTTCTCTGTGTGACTAGATTTTATTTTGACAACTGTGCTAAATGAATACTTATATTTAAAGGCACATGTTAACTAAACTTGATTGAATTAATACTAAGGGTTCCTGCTTAGTGCCTCAAGTAATAGTGTAAAAGTAATTTACACATACAGTATATAATACACTGAATTAAGTGAGCAGTTTTTGTGGTCTTCACCCTTTAGGGGCCACAAATGGTCTGTGTAAAATTTCAGGAGAATACATCCAATAGTTGTTGAGATAATTCAGTGTAGACAAAAGTGCTGGATCAACCAGCAGATCGACATTTCCAACCCTAGAGCCATGCCTACCTTCTCAAGTAGAAAGTGACTGCCCTGATGTTCAACATGATCTCATCATTTTCTCTGGTTGTGTTCATTTCTCGTCTCCTGTTGTCTCCAGTAAGTCACTAAAGGGACTTCATACTCCAGCAGACCACAGGTGGTGACACTAAGTCAATACATCTGAAAAGAAGAGGCCTGAAAAACAAGTTGTCCTCATCACATGCCCGCCTCCTGGTGGTCGGATTGTGGTGTTACACATCCCTGTTTGCTGTAGGGTCCTTGGCTCAGTGGGGACATTACAGTCCTGAACCTTACGGCACCGCCTGCTGCATTGACTGGCAAATAAAACTAATAAGTAAAAGGATATGCACAATTATTGTAAAGGAGATGGAAATATGGTTTTGGGCCCTCATCTGTAAACAATTATCAAAAATACTGGTAATGAAGCATTAGATATTTCTTTAGTGTGTAAAATCTTAATTCATAAAAATTGTTATTGAAATAAATGTGTAGTGGAAACTACAAATGTGAAGCTGAAGCAGGGTTCTGTAGACTGTTATTGATGGAAGATGGACGGGGTTAGATGCTGAGGCCAGTGTTTCAGATTCCAGAGTCAAAAGTTGTTCAGAATTCTTCTTTACAGCACCAAGAACGGCACATGTTTCACTTCATAAGCTCCTTGTTTCTTTTACTTAGAGAAAGTGACCGAACTCCCTTCAACAATCCAGCAGGTTAATTTTGCTTTTATGAGAACAAACAAAACGTTCAATATATTTATGTAACTCAAGCTGCATTACCTTAAATGTAACATCTTCTGGTAAAGTCCTAGTAGTAATACATTAAGCTGGATTTACTACAGTAAACCTTTTTAAACTTAGGCTGCTGCTGACTGTCACTTCACTTCTTTGGCAATGTTTAATATTAACCTGTAAACAAAGTCCCTGAACTCCTTCAAAAATCTTCTTTGTTAGAAACAAACATGGATCATGACACTAATCATTTCTTGAATGTTAACTTCTCCTGGTAAACTTGCCTAAATAGAAATACACTGTTATTAAATATAATATTTAACATTAGGTTCCTGTTGCTTTGTCATTGTTTTACCAGATCAGGACATGTTAATGTTAATCTTACCCTAATGCTTTGAAAAATACATGAAGGTACCAGTATGCAGAGCTTCTGTTGGTACTCCCAGGAGTCAAAGTCTTAACATGACTGGAGCTTTTAAGAGGTATCTCTATATTTTTGTCCTCCGCAGCTATGTATGTGAGATGGTCAGAATATTAGGAACACCTCTGAATATAATGTAATCCACTACAACAATACCTTTAACTATAACCTCAAAAATAAACACACAGTTGAATTTATACACATATGACAGATTCACCAAAAAAAACCCAAAACATTTTGAGCTTCATAAACAGATTTTAAAGCAGAAGTGTTGCACCGAAGTGCATACAATTACAGGTGGACCTAATAAGGTGGTCAGTCATGGAGTGGTCCAACATTAGCATAGACCATTCATCCTGCATTTAAGGAATAGCCTATAACAAATCTGATACTTTTGTCCAAATAATGATTGTTTTATAAACATTTAACTAACAAGTGAACCTAAGGCAGGAAGGGAAAGTGTGGAGACAGATGTCTGCAATGGGACCTCTATGGAGACAGGTGTGTCACTTCCAGCTATCCACGGCACAATACAATTTCAAAGTAACTGGAGAACTGATATGTTTTGTGGCTTTGAATTATAAAACATGATTGGATTGTTTTTTTTAAATGCATGATGAACTGGGGCTGCTTGACAGTCAAATTAGTTAATTTGAAATGCAGAAGAATGCAAAGAAATGTGCAATACAGGGCCAGACCTTCACACCATAAACACATGTTGATAATATTATCTTATGTGTATGCTGAAATAAATATTTTCATAAAGATTCATATCTCTACATTTGACCTTTCCCAGTAGTTGCTTCCAGAAAAACAGATGTGATTTGAGTATTAAGGGGCCTGTGCGCTTTAACGCCCCTGGTTTGGGACAGGTTGGACCGCAGAGTGAAGGAAGCAGGTGACTACCCAGTGAAACCTGGTGAGAGAAAGCCAGTGTGCAATGATTTTATCAACTCAAAAGGTTTGGAGAACACATTTTGGTTTGCTTGCCCACTTTTCAAAGCTCACTACGTCAATCCGTATGCAGAGGTTTGATGTCATCGGCGTTTGGAGGCATACTGTTACAACCTATCCCCTCAGAAAGGGGCAGTGACTGCTGAATAATAAATTCTCCGAACCCGCCCATGTAATGTTTATTGATCAGCTCTCCGTCAGGCCTATCTGACAGCAGTCAGCTCCAGTGTGGGTATGGCGTCGCTGCGCCGACACAGGGTGAATCCTCACCTCTCCGTGGGAATTGGCCAGTCACGTAGCGGGACGGCACTTCTCGGTCACTGTTGATAGGGATCATCCATGGCCATGGAGGACGAGGATAATAATAAAACGCTCACTGCGACTAACACCCAAACGGGCATTAGGAAGGGAAACGATGTCGGAGAAAACGGGGCTTGCATAGACAGGCAGCCGGAGACGGTGGTCCACCAAGCGGGGCTGAAGCAGACTGCAGCTCGCGGCAGCCGCAGTGGTCCTGGAGCTCACACTGCAACAGGAATCCGGGTGCTAAAGGCAAGTCCTAAAGGCTATTAGTCATGATGCAGTATGTGATTCACACATGGTCAACAAATAGCTTTATATTGTGTTACATGTCAGGGATTTTCTTACGCCGCAGCTGGTTATTGAAGCAGGGCAAAGTGCATGAGAATTAACTGTACCCTTGCAAAATTATATAACGACTGTGACATAAAGTGACTGATGTTGTCTGGTTGATGATTTATCTGTGTATGATTGCCATTCAGTAAGGCGTGTGTCAGAGCCACACACACACTGTAGACTGTCAGAGCTTTTAGGGCCCACTGATGATCAGTTTTCTGACATTTAAGGATAAGACTCATGATATATACTGACATAAGGTATATGTCCCTGCCCCATTAGTAAATACCACAAGTAAAATTCTGATTTTTCTCCAGATTTGATTAAGCCCTTCTGTATTTGTGCAAATATAGCCTGTCAAACTGTTTACCCATAATTCAGTCAGTGTGAGCAGCTTAAGGACAATACAAGTCTCTTTTCACGCCTTTCAACATTAACATAAAATAACCAAGCTGTGCTTCTGAGAATTAGTAGCCTACGGAAATTCCTTGATCTCTCTCTGCTAAAATATGACTATGTTTATGGATTTGCTGAGGCACAAGCTACAGTTTACAGTTGCTTTGACTGAACATGCACGGTCCTGTTCAGCACAGCTATGCTTCACATAGACACAGTGACATATATCCACACCTGGAAGCTGCCCAGTACATTTGTAGTTGACTGGGGTGAGCAAACTCCACAGCAGCAAGCAATGGTTCAGTGCTTCACTCACACTCTTTGATAGTAGATGTCAAGGAGAGCGTAGGTAGCTTACTTTCACTGTGGCCACACAGTGTTTTCAGCAGATATGGGATTTAAACGAACCTCTGTCTGCTCATAGTCTTCCCTCTCTAACCTCTGCTATAAAGCTGCTCTGTTTATGACCCAGGTTAATTAGTGAAGGTGAAAGTTTATTCTTAAACGTTGGAATGGAAGTTGAACAAAATATTCAACTCAAATACAAGTATATGAAATGGCAAAAATTTAAATGAGCTTTCTATTAGACATCAGATATCCCAGCAGTCGGTGAACGGATTTGCCAATTAATTGATTAATTGAATCAAAAGAAAATTAATTGATAATTATTTTGATAAGCAATTAATTATTACATTATGGACCAAGTAATAATACAAAATATTTATTGGTTACAGGCTACAACCAACAGGTTTTTGGCAGTTGGTCAACACAAAATAATAATTTAATCACTTTGGGAAATTGTGAGCAGAATTTCTTTTATCAATCCATTCCAATTCCTTTACTCACTGGACTACATTTCTTTTGACACTTTTTCAGAGATCTGGATTTGCTTTGAGATAATCCTTCTTATGCGACACACAGCAGCAAATTGCTCAGAGTCTACTGACTGAAGCAACATTTGCAAATAGTGCTGATGACACCTTTAGGTCACAAAACTGGATGCTCTGAAGACTTTCATATCTTCTGAGTAGGTGTGGGCTGAAGGTGCATCCCTGACAAAAGTCCACGATCAGTGTGTCTGTGTGTATATACAGTATGTACTGCAGAGCCAACATGCAGAGTCACAGTAGTAGAGAGACACAGTATCATTACCTCTTGGACCAAGTAACACACAGTAAAACCTTTACTGTACCGTGAGCAGTAGTAGTTTCTATGTGGCTGATGTTACTCAGATTTTATAATCATTTTCATAAAGGTCCTTACTGTCAAATGTAGAAAGCATTGCATAATTTTCAGGAACATTGCACATCTGACTAATATCCACACAAGTCATTAGGGAAATAGTCAGTCCTCAGTAAGAAAGCTAACAATGAAAAAAACATTAAGTCATGATCGGCGCTGCATCTATCGAAAGAACTGCTCAGGAAATGTAGAGTTGAATCTAGAGGAAGGCAATTACATGTCACTGTAATGGAAGGAAATACTAGCTAGCACACACCTTCTAATTACTTTATATTGATTAAATAACATGCACAGCTTATTAGTATGCCTCACCCAAGTGCCACAACATGGGGGAGGGGTGCCCCTTCTCTCCTACAAATACAACTGCACCAATTTCCAGCCGTGTCACCTTCACTTAACTCCACAGTAGTTTTCCTTTCCAGTTGCATACAGTACAAATGGAAAGGTGTGCAGCAGGATACTAGAAAGTGTGGTTGCAGTCCACTAAATACATGTGGAGAGATAATTTTATGACTTCTCCATTAACTGTAAGACAAATACTGGTCCACCAAACCAGGATGAAATCTGTACTGTCCCTCTTGTGTCTGAGGCTGTGTATCACAGCCCGATGTTTTCATTGTTCAAATCCACTAGTTCATTCTGTAACAGCCCCGTCTGTAAGTGGCTGTTCCCAAAGCTGTCGATCAGCCCCGTGGGCTGTCATATTGTCTCAGCATGTTTTGTCTTTGTGTCACTGCAGCTTTTGATAAAATTTTATGTTCTAGAAACATTAGCTCTGAAACTACACAAGGTGAGCGTTAGTAGATTATTGAGATCTGGTAACTCTCAGCACAGATTTGTTTTTAAGGAAGCCCACAGCACCTCTGAGAGGGTCGGAGAGTGTGAACAACTCTCAAGCAATTTAGGCACCCCAAGGCTGTATCTGATATGTTCAGTATGTATCTGATGTTCATCTCTGTGTTAAAATGACTCTGTCTCTGTCAGCAGCGCAACATGAAGCGGAACGGGAGTCGTGGCTGTGTGGCAAGAAAAACTAGATTTGGATCACGAGAGCGGGACTGGCTAAAGGGGGACACCCAGCGGGGCTGTGTGTGTCTGTATGGGGGGACAGTGGACCCCCAGCCACCTGCCTCTGGTCCACAGGCCTCCTCCACCCCTCAGACAGACCTGCAATTGGTGCTGTGCTCCACCAGTACCACAGTGGAAGAGCTATGTGCTCAGAGAGATGGACAGGGACTCTATGTTCAGCTGCATGGAGATCTAGTCAGGTAAATACACATAAAGCCATACAGTTTTTAAAAAATCATTTCCTGTGGTCAAATACTATATGTGTTTGCATTTGAGTCCTGCTAACAATTAGGCACAACATTTTCTAAAAGCAGACCAGAGGTCAGTTGTAGCTTGGAGGCTAGTGGCTTTTTTGGTCAATGGCCAGGACAGAGGTATTCCAATCCCTGTGCCCTTCTCAGAGCAGCACATGTGGGTTAAACCTGTTAAACTGGTTACCAGGAATGGGCCAACACATGCATCCAACATCCAACAGCTGCAGCCTTGCAGTGTCTTCATAGGATGTAATCATTACTGTGCCCTCTGCAGCATCTGACAGCTCATAGCTTAATGTATAATCATGTACTAATATGGAAATGGGGAAAAAAGAAAATGACTTGAAGTGTAAAAAGACATTTTGGGATGCACTTAAGTGAGTACAGTGCAAGTGAAATATGAGCTTTTATGCAGTTGGTTTAGACAGCTGGAAGCACGTCTCCTTCAGACACAGAAAACACATTTAAAATGGGTATAATGGTGTAGAGTGATATTAGGGATAGCAATTTAGAAGTATTATGTTTCTAAATGGATGTGCACATGATAATATTATATACAAACTATACCAGGCCCGTGTGAGCCTTACTGTCTGCTCAGTTTTGTGAGATGTTGAGAAAAATCTTAAACTGTAAACATGTAAAAGACATGTAGGGTACCAGCAAAAATGGCAGTAGGTGCAGGAAGTTAGCCAGCAGTGTGATCAGCTAAGATCATTTGAACCAACTCCACGTTGATTAAAAGATGTATGCACTGCAGAGTAATGCAGAATGACAGGCCTAATATATGAAAGGCTTTTAGTAAGCCTGTCTATAGGATACATTGGTTCAGCTTATATTTCAGCAGCACTTAGATTCAGTTTGCCTGTGAGTATGACTGGGTGGCTTTAGATTAAAGTTTCCAACATCTAAAACCATGGTATTCACAGCTTAAGAACACTATGATTCCTATTTATGTAAAGGAAATTTCCATCCCTACAGGCAGCACATAGACTACTGTAAAGTCACGTCAGCGTTGCATTGATCATGTTTCTCTTCCTTGTAAACACATTTTATAAACTTGTTAGATAAATATAGTATTATGTGTGTACTGTATAAATGATCATCTGAGACATACAAAGCTCTTGATAGCAGTGATGTGAGTGTTATGAAGGACTTAATGGAGGGGGCAAAAGCTTTTTTTTTATTTAGTAATTTTCTTTTTATAGTTTGCAGTAATGTGCTGCTTACAGGAAGAAGTGGTCTCTGTTCTGTCCTCCAAAGGGAATATTGCTTTTTTTTTCAAGCCAGACAAATTCCCTTGTAAGATAAATTTACTGAGGCAGTGAAATTGTTGGAGGACATCCATCCTTCCATTCCATTCATCCCTTTTTGAACTACTTATCCTGGTAAGGGTCACGGTGCTAACAGGGTGAGCAGAGCTGTCCACTGTTGTTTTTTCCAGCAACAGGCTATTCCTTGGGGATTCATAAGTGTTACAAGGACAGATTGGTTATATTATTCCTAAGGCATGTTCTGGGTGTATCCCAGAGTTTCCTTTCCCAGTTTGTCATGCCCAAAACACTTCCAGAAGGAGGATCCCTAATACCATGTGGTTCCCAAATCACTGAGCTCCTCACTCTGAAGTTTAAAGTGAGGCCAGCCTCCCTGCAGAGAAAACCCATCTCATCTTCTTGTAAATGGTGTTATATGGCACTTTTCTATGCTACTGGGTGGCATTTGACACCTTTTCTCTGCGTTGCCTAAAGTTGGAGGGTATGAAAATAAATGAGGTATATCAGTGCTAAGTGTTATTGTGAATGGTCAACAGGGACCAGTGACTGTCAGTCACCTTCCTCTTGGAAGTTGCCTAAATACTGCATTGAGGTGTTGAGGCCACAGCTGTGTGAAGTCAGACAACAGGATCCTGTCTGACAGAGGGAAGGTAAACTTGGGCATAGGTAGTGGTATTTGTTTACCCACTGTGTTTCTGGCTGTCAAATGTGGCTCTTTTAATTAAATCATTTAAAGTCATAAAAATGGATGGCACACAATCACTTAAAACAGCTGTCAGAAGTGATTAGCTTCTGAGGAGACGCGTGTAAGTAAACCCCAGTCCTTTGTTTTGATTTCCAGCTGGTCAGTTCGAAAGCAAAAGTGTGAGTTGCATTTTCTGTTGCTCTTACAAAACTTCCTTCATGCAGCCAGACTGCAGGCATTTTTGTGACATGCTGCATTTACTGGATCAGACTAAGGCTACTGGATTACAGCGTTGACATATTGTATTAGTAGTTGAACTACACAGATGCACAGACATTACTGTTTTCTAAAATATATGGTGCACTTAAACAGAGTGACAGGGCTTTCAGTCTGTTAAAATGGGCCAATACCTGCCTTTGAACTAAACTGAAGTTTGTTGTGCAATACTGTATATTCATATTTGATGTGCTGTATATTTATGTCTTTTGACTCAGCACCTCCTGAACAAGAAGGGGTTGGTTATCCCATTAAAAATTATCTGCTGCTTTTGATGTCGATAAAAGAACTGTTAGCCTTCAGTTTGATGTTAATGCTTCAGTGTGTACCTAGTAAAATATACTTGTATTACTGTTTTGTGACAGCATTGTTGTACCACCTCTCCTTTTCTTTGTCCTGTAGGAGGCTGGACCCCTCTGAGCATCCGCTCCAGATGGTGTATGACTACCTGACAGCAATGGGCTACACAGACCCTGTACGAGTGCAGCAAGAGGCAGCCAACTCAGACCTCAGCTGTTTGATCCGTTTCTACAGTGGTGAGTACTGACCCACAGGGGCCATCATCCCCAGCCTTCTTTACCTGCTGCTGCTCAGTGGGATCTGGTAGGAGCCCGGTGTCTTCCTCTGAAGGCCGTAAGTCAGGCTGCGGCGGGTCAAATGTTCCAAAATTGCTTGATCCCATTCTCTTTTGATCTTGTGTCTGTGTGTGTGTGCACTTTAAACAAGCATTCTCCTCTGGATAATGCAAAGGCACTTGTTGTTTGAGGCTCTCTGGGAGTGATGCACTTCTGAAGTATAGAGAGACTATAGCCTGGAATACCACAAACACATACCCATTATGGCCTCATGATAAGTGACTGGCTATCCTTCATCCTGTGGAGTTTCTCTGTCCCCATTTGGGCTGCCTTTTACCCTCACTTGTCAGTACTCTCCCATGACCCCACAACTGGGGAAAGTGTCCTTGTGTATGTCATTGTGATATATTAAAGCATTAGCAGAATGGATGCGGCTCTTTGAAGAAACCAGTGACAAATTTGTATAGCTGCATCCGTCTTAACAGGGCTCACATAAACCCACTCTCCTTGCTTGAGCTTTGCATTGGTCTAATGATACCCTTATAGTAACAGCAAATGAAGGATTTGCTTTTAAGCGTAAATGCTGAATGATATTCTGTGATATGTTTCCACTTAATAAACCAAATGATACTCCTGTTGAGTTGGTGGAACTCCTCACATGCTGTTATGCAAACCAAAGCGTCAAAAGGGCTCACATGAAATTCCTCCCACATAAAGTAACCGACCATCTCTACGATGAACTGCAGTGGTGCCACGCTAAATAAAAGTACATGCTAAAAACAAACGTCTGTGGCTTTGTTTTGAAATTCTCACACATGAGGAGACTAAAGATCCTAACTGACATTCAGATTTGTCCAGTATGTAATGATTTGGGGTTTTGATTGGGTTTTGATTTGGTGCTCATTTGGGAAGCATAAAATTTAAATCCTTCTGTGTCTTATCAGGAACTATGTGTCCTTTATCTTTCATAGACAAGTGGACACCACACAGCTTTGATAATCATCACTTACCAGAACACAACTCAAGTTAAACAGCCTTTACATTGTGTTTTCTTTTTCTGGCTTTAGCTAGTTTCTTTTGAATGAATACAGTCTTGGCTTTATATCAGCCTGGTAATACAACTGTTTGTTTGTTTAGCTGTCAGATCTCAAGCTCACCGTGGCCTCAGTCTTATTTCTAGTCCTCCTGTGTCCATTGGAAGCTTAACTGTTGTGTGCCTCTGAGAATTGGCCAGATCTTGACTGCTTGGCTAGTGAGGCCACACTGGCCAGAGTCTAGTCAGCCCCTTGGAAACTTCCTGCCTTCTTTTGTCAACTCATGGGAAAACAGGACCAGCAACCAGTCCTGACTGGCATTCAGGCACTTCTCACACCATAGAACCGGGAAAGAAGTAACTGGATCTTGCAGGTTGTTCACCCACCTTCCAAGTACAAGTGTTCAGGAGCTCTCCAGTCATACAGTTTCATGGGTAGACCTCATTTTTGGCTGGCACAATGTAACCCTGGCTTTTTATTCCAACCCACAGTGATGTTGTAGGTGGGCTGTGATGTAGTGTTGAAATGCATAACAACAGCCTGAGGTCTTTCTAACAGGTGTTTGCTTGTCAAACAGCAGGCACCTGGTGGTGGGTAGACTCAGCAGATGAGGAAAATAGTGGTCTTTCTCATCTTTTCCCATCTTTTTTCTTGTGAAATGCTGGTTTGATTTTCCTCTTCCATCCTTTACAAAGTATTCAGATCAGTTAGTCTGAGGAAGACGCTTGCTCCAGCGGCACTGGATTATGAGTATTGGTTAATAGTCATCATAATAGTAAATAGTCAGTGGTGTCCATGCTCATAGAAGGACATGCTTTTATTTTATTTCCTGGTACACACATTTACATGCGTGTGCGTTTTTCTGTGTACTCTTGACTTTATGAGTTTGCTTGAATTGATGGCTGCATTTATGGCTTTATTTTCTCTCAGACCATTAAAGTGTTTCAAAGTGCAGTGCAGCAGGTAATTTATTAAACTTCACCATCCGCTTATTTGTTCAGGAAACTCATCTCGAACCTTCTCCACCCTTCTGCTTCCCACACACACGCACACACCCTCCTGCTGTAGTGCACAGATGAGATGAAAACAAACATGGAGGAGGGAGTAAATATTTCTAAACGCTGACATAAAAAAGAAAACTCTCCTAGTGAAAACAACTGCAGAGACCTGAGGGCCAGTGGTTCTCTGTGTCGAGCCATGCAGCTGCATGGCAGACTTGCATCAAAGGCTTGCTGTAACTACTGACACTTGTCCACTGGGCCCTGTTCCATCTCTGCCGGGGTTGATCTTTGTTTTACACATCAACTGCATATAAAAATGGATGATGTTTCATGACTTCCTGCAATGACGCAAAAGTGAATCCAAGGTTATTGCCAATAAGGGGGCAGCCATCTTGCTCTTGTGACACATTTTGCACAGGAGCACCCATATCAGGCCACATATTGAAGCTGTTAATCATCTTTAATACAACCTTTTTTTAGATCATCAAATAACTATTCAAAACCAACCTACCAAAAAATGAACACTGCACACAGATTAATCTAGCTAAAATCACAGAAATCACCATTGGGAAAATTTTATGTGTACTTTGAATTTTTAGTTTGGCTTATGTCCGCTAAAATGGAGGGGGTGGGGGTTTTGACCTATACTGCAAGCAGCCGCCAGGGGGCTCGACTTGTGATGGATTCCTTTCTTTCCTGTCACGTTGTCAATCTTTATATACAGTCTATCCTCACCTTTGAGCTCAGAGACCTGAAGCTGCTGGACACAGTTCATGTCAGGCCCACTGTCGGTGTCAGAGCAGACACGAATAGTTAATTTGTTAATAAGTTATTGATTTGGCTGGTGGTGATTTACCAGCAGAAAATAAACCTGAATGAAGAATTTAGATGTGCTAAGCTGTGATAACATTGATGGTGAACTAAAGTCTGCAACTCAGAGGCTCAGTAGTTTAATCATTGAGTCTTAATATTCAGGTCCTGGAGGAACAGAAAGACTAAATTCACCAAGTGTCTTCATGTTGTGGTTTAAATGGAGAAAAAGTTGGTTCACTGGGACAAAAAGTGGAGAAGCAGTCAGACTGAGATTTATGAGAAAAACGAAATTCTGTTCAGATGTGTGTTGTCACAGAATTCCTCATAGTATTCTGTTTCTGTGTCCGGGCTCTGTTTTTGCTGAGGGTTTTCACTGTCCCATCTGAAACGTGCAGAATCTCTCTAGACTCGTAGATACTTTTCAAGTCAGTTGCTTTGCTGCTGCTGAAACATATCCACCATTTTAATGTCATCTGTATTCAGAATCAGTATTCAGCTGTGCATGTTCCATCTGTATTCAGCTCAGTGTAGGCTTTCTGTGTTTGATATCAGAATTTAATTTCCTGCTCAAAGTTTAAAGTCAAGTTTTTTATTAGAGGTAAACACAGACCACCGAGGCAAGGCAGCTGCTGGGTGGTAGGTTAAATCTGAATTTTATGTCAAAAAAAGCTTGCTGTTCTGAGTCAAATCAGACTGTTTCCACCTCCACTGACCCCCTACTGCATGCTAACGCAATCTCTGCAATCTTGAGCAAAACAGCAAAGCTCTGTGATTCAGTTGAGTGTCTGTAATTCCCTTGAAATCATCCAGTATGTGATTAAAAACAGAGTCAACATATAAACACCCTCCAGATCAAAATCGGGAGTCACACACTAAAACAGTTACACAAAAGAGATGAAAATCGGCACAATAACTTTGTCTTTTGGCCGAAAAAAAAAAAAAACTTTAACTGATTTGCAGTAAATTTACGGTTTGTTGTCCTTCCTACGATGTTGGATCATTTTAAATGTGTTGCACTATTCATTTATTTGAGTTTTGCAGGAGAGCAGATGCTTTGATTCAAGTCAGAGTGGTGTTAACTCTTTCTGGTTACTCACCAAGTACACAGCCATGCTCTGAAAAGTGGTGGTGGATTTGCTGTTATCCAGTTAATGAACAGTTGTTCCAAACTGTACATTGTTATTCACTTTTATATTCAAATTAGGGCTGCAGCTATCATTTATTTTCTATCATTGTCATTATGCCGTTGTTAGGACTGATTATTCTGCAGGTTATTTTAGGAATTAATGGTTAGGTCTATAAAACAACAGAAAACTGTAAATGTTCATCGCAGTTGCATAGAACGGAAGGTGATGCCTAAGATATTTTGTTGGGAAACAATTATTTTCTCATATTTGAGAGGCTGGAATTATCAAATGGCATTTTTGCTTGAAAAACAATTGAAATGCTTGCTCCATTTTTAAAATAGTTGCAGGTAAATCAATCTGTCAATCAACTTAATAAATAATTGACCCATTATTTGTTTCTAATATTTAATGATAACAAGTGTAATATTAGTATTATGTTACATGAATGTAATATAACAATTATCTATTTTGACAAATGGTGGTTTGCGTCCTTTCTCATCTTTCATTGCCCAATCGCATCCTAAGTCCCTGCATCCGTCTCTGTTCAGTTATTCTGCTCTCTCTCTTTTCCCCCTGTCTCTTCTTCAGTGATGACGGAGTAGAATTTGACCTGTTGAGGCCTTGTTGCTCATCCAGGATGTCACTTGGTTTGCAGGCAAGTGAAGGCTGCAGCCACGTTTGATAAGATGTCATACAGTTGGCTCTCTGATCCGCCGCTCATCACACTGTCCCTGTGGTTTGGCAGCTTGTCCAGGGAGGATGTTTGACACAGCTTGATGATTATTTTAGTGGAGGCTGCACAGCTTGTCTGTGGTCCCGCTCTTCTAGACTCGCATAATAGCTTTGACAAAAACATCCTGCAACAGAAAAGCAGTGTTTCACAACATGAATGCCATTAAATCCCTCTGGAGCCACTGGGTATGGTCAACGATTGTCATCATCAGTGGGATGGGAGTAATTTTGCTGGTTTTCTGCAGAGTAGCTAGAGGTTACTGGAGACAGTATGGAGGTTTACCAACTCAGATTGGACTTTGGTTTTGTGAACAACCTGTTTCCTTAGCATCAAATAGCCCCACAGCACTGTCAAACAATAACCAGCTTGACTGACCAGTTTTTTATTTTTATACTGTGAGCATCTCATGTTCTCAGCCTTTGTAAAAGATGTTATTAGGACATAGTTTGAATGGACTCTATTTTAATGTGCTGACAACAGGCACACCTTTCTTTCTTTGGAACACATGCATCTGTGTAGGACGGAGCTCAGGAAGATTTGTTCATTGCATGAAGCTGTGCATGCACAGCTTTGATAGGTTTTCTTGTTCACATATACAGTTCCTACATACACAGTTTAAGCTAGTTTTTCACATGCTTTGATAGATGAGGTGCCTCTTCTCCTGAATTTGCTCTGTTTCACATTTGTATGTGCCATCAGCTGGGTAGCTGTGTTTACATGAGGAAGCTCCCCACCCCCCTTTCTGTGGTCGAGTTAAATGGCTGATATGGCTACAACATTTATAAAGCATGTGTTTAGCTTTTTTTTTTTTTTTAATTATTTCTATTGGTAAGAAAATGAATAATAAGAATAGAAAAACAGATGTAAAATGGTGGTGCATATTTCATCACCACGGAGGCACATAGAGCATCGAGGAGACAAAGACCATTTTACTATGTGCACCCTCCTGTGTGAATATGTACACCGTGGTATTCCTGTGCTATGGTTCATACATTCATTACCTTTATTTTCTGTTTTACAAATGTGAGAAGGAAAACCAAGTCCCTTGCATGTGCCACAAAGAGATGACTGACAGTCACATCACACTTACAACAAACCTTAAGCTGCCTTGTCTTACTAACGGGAGCCGAGCTCCCTCTAGCTCCCCCGTAGTTCCCAACTAACTGCAGAGCTCTGCTGGATTTTACCTACTGAACTTTATCTTGGTCTTAAAGTGTAGAGTTTATATTTCATGTGTACACTTATAGAATCCAGCAAACTGGTGCCAGATCTCTTGCACTTGTTCCTGCCTTTTTAAGTGCCAAATCAATATAATAGAAGGTTGTTGAATTCTTTAGCTGGGCCACATCTTGCTGTTTTTAGGGTTGCTTTTAATTGCTTTTTGGTTCACTTTATTTGCTACTTTTAATATAGACAGAGCGTTGATACATTAGGCCTGTGTGTTAGCACTCTGCAGGTAGTGCTCTTAAAAACGCAGCCCCCTGACAGCATAACAAAGCGAGGTGTGGAGTGTGCTTGTTTCTGGTGATGTATTGTGAAGCCAGTCAGAGCTGCCTGTCAGCCTGAGCAGGTCCATGATGATGAGGTTTTTGATATGCCTTGCAGTGGGTGAGTGTTGTGCTAAATTACTTGTTATAATTAATATTTTGTATTTATTCTAACCTAATGTCTTATCAAACGAGAGGTGAAGGAGAGTATGAGCAAGAATTCAATTCCATCTTTTCATACCTGACAATTTCCCATAGTTTGTGCTGTAGATGCATTTTAGTTGATGCCACAAAAGCTCTGGTCTGCATTCCATATGTTTTCCCTTTTTTAGATAGCTCCACACTACCCAGCACTGACCCTGTGAGGGTCTGCGCCTCTGTTTTTCTATTGGCGTGAGGGACACCCAAGGATCAGGCACTGCTATTGATCTGCCCGCCAGTCAGTTTGTTGTCAGAAGCACTTGGCTTGTTCATTATCAGTTTCCTGGCAAAGAAAAACATCAGGAGGCTTTCATTTCATTTGGATGCCCTTCAGAAGTGAAAGGGAAGTTAGAGAGAAAGGGAAAGTCAGACAGAAAGAGAGAGAGAGAGAGAGAGAGAACACAGAGTGCCAGTGAGAGCCCCTGAGTGGGAGGCAACATAAGATGGTTTGAGGAAAATGTGACAACAGAGGACGAGGCCGAGGCATTGTGTCCTCAGTGCTTACTTGACCTGCTGTTAACCTGAATAAACTTGAAGCCTTGCAGCGACGGCAGCACTGCTATCTGATGTGTCCTTCAGCACAATGCTAACACTGCCTGCTGTGCAAGTTGGCATAATTTAATTGAGAGTGAAGTTTAATGTGACAAAAACCCTGACTCATTCATCAATATGACTGATGCTTCTTCTAGGCTAGGATAGCAGTGGAACTGGAGGGGACGTGGGGGTGGAAAAACAGACATTTTGGCAGTCTACCTGCTGTTCACTTTAGCTCTGATATGTTGACTGGCTTTATATCGTCCATTACTGACTATTAGCTCACCAGGCTATTACAACACATTAACAGCTTGCACAAGTTTCTCCTTTCTTCTTTGTGTCCTTATTTGCACACAAAGAGGCATGACATGAATTGGAAGCAGATAGTTGGCACAGTTACACAGAGAAACAGAAAAAAATTCATTAGTTACATTTGTAATAATCAGAACTGCAGCCAGCCTGAACCTCGTGCTTTATGCAACAAAATGACCCAAATGTGTTGAACCACATCACTGGACTTAATTTAATAGTTTGTTAATAATAGAGTTATTGGATAAATTGTTTTCCTTTTACTGTGAGATCAAACATATTATTGTGCAGTGAGATCTATCCAGATGTGGCATATGTGAGATAATGGGGCTGTGTCCATCTTAAATTCTGATGTAAGACCAGTTCCTGGAAATATTACACTACGGATGATATCACACTGACCCGTGAGTATCTTTGGTGTATGAGTGAATTTTCTGGAAACTTGTGTTTGTGCTGTAAGATTGGGTAGCTATGTTCTTGTGCATTAGATCAACCTCTGTAGATCTGCTCTAACCTCTGTGTGTGGGCTTTTTCTTCCAGAGCGTCCGGTGAATCCGGACCAGCAGGAGCGTACCTTGCTGACAGGTGTATTCAGTGTCAGGAAGGGTAAGACCCAGCTGCACAAGTGGGCAGAGCGGCAGGTCATTCTCTGTGGCACCTGTTTAATCGTGGCTTCTGTGAAAGACAGCCTGACTGGGAAGATGCACATCTTGCCCTTGGTGGGGGGAAAGGTGAGAGTGCAGTGTTTGGACAGACTGAAACAGTGTTAATGCTCAATGTAGAGCCCATGCTTTATGCTGAGGTAAAAAAAGATGCTGCACTACTGCATTTGCAGAATTGTGTCATCTAAGGTAATGCATCTCTGTAGGTTGTTTATCCAATTTTTACCTGGAACCACAAATGAGTAACGGTAAATAAAGGTTATAGTTATAATTATCTTTTTTCAGAACACAGTTGGGGTCTGAAATCTTAGCACAGCTGCACACTAGAGTGAAAAAGTCCACTCTAAAATACTTACAAACCCAAACATCAGGTCAGCCTGACATGCAACAACTATGACTCCTCTGCTTGGTGCTGGACATGGAGGTTCTCTCTTCCTTTATTTCCTGCTGTTTTGTATTATCAACTGTCAAATCAGGAAAAATATTTCTCTTAAATGGAAACGTTGCCAATCTGTCAAAGTACTGCATGTTTATGGGTCTTAGGGAGTACTACTCTATACCTAAAAAAGTTGTATAAAGTCTTTAGCTGTTCCAGAGGGAGCTGCAAGAATTTTTCACAATAGCTGAAAAATGTTAAAAAATCTGGGGATGTGGTATTAGGAAGCATTGTGATCACCTGACCTCTGTAGCATCTGCTTCAGGCCACATTAGCTGCTATTGGCTTAACACACCCAAACCTCCGATCAAACTATTTGCAGTCAAGCAGCAGTGTGAGTAATGCAAGTGCCAGGATTTGACAATAAACAGATTATGTCTCTGGTTCTGCTGCATTTGATCCTTTTTTTTAAATGTCCAGTATGAGTCTGACAGTATGTTAGGGGTGCAACATTAAAACAACGGGGTACTGAAATAACTTAGCAAAAAAAAAAAGATGTAGTGCTAACAGTAGCTTGCATTTCTGTGCCGATGCCACTGTCACTGGTAAATTTTAGCTAATCACTCTACCTGTATATATCTCTGCAGCTACAACCATTTTCCGTTTGTTTTCTCTCACAGTGTTCCTCCTCATTGTATCTGTGTGTTTTTATATTGAGGTGGAGGAAGTGAAGAGGAGGCAACACTGTCTGATGTTCAGCTCAGCAGGATCGCAGGCCCAGGCATATTTTGTCAACTTTGACACACTCGCAGACTACCATCGATGGTATCGGCAGGCATCAAAAGTAAGCAACAGACAAAGAGTGTGTGTTATTGCATGTGTGCTACACAATATGTTTCTCCTGTGTTTTCTCTCGGCAGCTGTTTGTTTCCAGTTAGTCTTTCTGGGCTTGTACTTAAATCAGATTTGATGTTGGCACCACAGTTGCCATCTTCCTGTTGAATCGTCCAATCAGAAACCGCCTATCTGTGCCTGATTGGCTACACAGACTCTCAGCGGTGTGTGGCTTTGATTGAACAGCATAGCTTTATTCACATAGTTGTGTCTTTTTTACCATTAGTTAAAGACATTTTTTTTCAAAGGCCATCAGTGGTAAAAACTTTAGTTTTATAAGTGGCTGTGAAGTAGAGGATGCTAAATGACCTAAACTGATTTTTGTGTTTTATACTGTCTTTCAGAGAGAAAGGAAATCATTGTTTCTGTGCTGCATTGTCTCAGCTATCCTAATTAATGGCTACTGTGGCCCAGCTCCTTCTTGGATCAGAGCAGTTTCTGTGAGATTCTCAACTGAGGTGGAGCCAGCATACAGTTAGCCATGGGAGGAGAAAGTCAATAGTAAAAAGAGAAAATCCAATTAGTTGAAGATTCAGGCTAAATTAAGGAGCCCTCCCTACCATGGTGGTATGGATTACTGGGTCAGCACTCTCTGTTTAGGCTACTGAAGATGTGGAGACTGTGGGATGATGACTGATGAAGGTTTTTGGTGGATTTGGGTCAGTTTTTATACTGCACTGCATAAATTTTAAGTGTGTGAGTGTTTGATCAGGTTACATGTATGAATTACTGAATCAGTGTTTAGTGGTACGTTGACCACAATAACTGGTAAAAATCACTGAACCTCCATTCGTGCTATGATGCTTTTATGGACCTCCTCTTTCTTTGTTTTTTTCCTCTATCATATTGCTTCAGTTGTTTTGCAGTCGTAATGCTTGATTACTATGCAAATCATCTAAAACAACAAATCTGCCCTATTTTCTTTCTACCTCTTTAATTCAGCTCTTTCTGTCTGTTTCTATCGCCCACTCTCACACCACTTAATTACTTTTTTAATGAGGAGTTGCTTTCTAATGTGGCTGGCAGATGAGTTGTTTTGTGGGAGATGAGCAGTTTTGTCTTTGTCATCTCTAAAAGCAGTGACATGATGTCATGCTCTGCTGAGCAGCAGTTCCATTTCCTGAGTTGCTGCTCAGTGTGCAGCCTGTAGATAATGGAGGAGAAGCTTGTGCTCAGACTGGATCGACAGCACTGCTGCAGTAGATAGTCTGCACTGGTGGCCGGTCTGTAGCAATCATCTCTGAGATGAAGGGAGCAGAGTGAGTGAGATCTGAACTGTACTAAAACAACCACACAATCACACATGTAGATGGAATGGTACCTTGCTACCTGTGAGGACATTTATTCCCTGCTCTATCTTAGCATAAGACAGTAAAAACTTTGGAAAATAATTTCTATATATGTGTAATGCTGCAGGTGCAATCTGGATTTCATTTCGATTGTGGTTTGCTCTGTCTGCACTGCAGCAACAGGCAGCTCAGATGACGTGAACAGGGCATGTGCAAGTTTCAGGTTTGCTACGATGTTGTGATATGGAAGATGTGATGCTGATAAGGCAAACAGAAAATAGTAGTACTCACTCTAAGTGCTTAAAGCTTTGGTCTAATTCTGTATGTGTGTGCATGGATGCCTGTGTGTGTCTGTCTATAGGTGGTGTCTCAGACAGTCAGCATGGTGGATCTGTCCTGCTACAGTCTGGAAGCAGTGCCTGAGTATCTGTTCTACAGCCAGGACATCACTCACCTCAACTTGCGACACAACTTCATGAGCCTGCAGGGGCCTGGAGGGCTGCTCAACCTCCCCAGGTAATCCCTTATCCTCAGCCTCAGGAATTGCCACAGACATAAAGCCACATGACAATTGAAATTGCCCTTCAGCTGGAAAACACATGATTGTGTCCTCATGGAGGTACAGTAAGTGTCTGTCTTGATGACATAATGAATGTTATAGGGCAGGGGAGAATCCCTGCTGTATTTTCAGGTGCTGTAACTGGCCAGGTGCCCTGGTCTCCCAGTGGAGGTCAATAAAGTAGCATGGTATTCAGAAGAAAGCTGCTAAGATGTCATCAGTCAAACCAGCCAAACATTGCTTGATCAAAGCCTGGCAGTGGTCTCCACTTACTGTAGTTACTATAATAGGAGCAAAATGTTGCTGCAGTTGCTTATTATTGACATAGAACTTTTGTCTGTATTAGATTTGTTTATGAAGTCAGTACTGTATTATCCCATGTTTATCATAATAGAACAATAATTTCTCCAGACCTCTGCTGTTTAAATTAATCATGTAAGCATACATTCTTGAGCCCAGTTAGAATCACCAGCTTTTCAGCCACTGTGCTGATTCAATGTTGTACTGTGACTTGCTATGGTGATGCTCTTCATGTAAGCATGTAATATGCTGGAGCTCTTGTTTGTCACACAGCCTGTGATCCCCTCTCATTTAGACCAGATGTGTGGAAAGAGGTTCTGCCTGTCAAACAGGACAGGAATTCGACTTTGTGTCCAGTTCTGCACTGGAAGCTTAGCTTATTTAAACAAGATGAATTTGACAGTGGATGTATTGCTATGAAGTAATCATCTTCAACCCCTCCAGTTCCCTTTTGTATGTCTCCAGCATTATTGGTTGCCTGGGTTACTGAACACATTACATTATATAAGGGTCTATTCTGCTACTTGCTAAGAGGATTTACACGAGAGTATCTTGCACCCCTTCATTTCTGGTGCTCCCTCCTTTCTTGTTTGTATTTTTAGAATGAGGGTGCATTAATAAAAGGAAGCGGCAGCCTCACTACACCACTTCATTCATCACAGCCCAGTCTCTTGAACATATGCTACAAATGTGTACACATATACATCAGAACTGATGCTTGGGACATACAGTATCTTTATTTGAAATAGCCAGCCTAAGTGGGTGGCTGCACATCTTATGAATGAACAAACATGTATCAGTAATGATCTTCATCAAATGTAGTAGACACTATATGATTGTATACTAAGGTTCCAGTAGTGGTGATTGGAATACTTTTTTCAGTATGAGTACTGTCCTCTCCTGTTTGCTGCTGGCTGCTTTTTTCAGCTGCATTTAAATCGTCTTAATAACATGGTGCAAACCTGAAGCACAAATAACAGCACAAACTCCCACAGTGGACCTGGAATCAAGTCTACAGTATCTAATTTCTGCAGAGTTCACCCTGGATTTCATCACCCTCAGCTGATAGTTCACCATACATCTTTTTATTCACATCTCTTGTCCACTGCCTTCTCCTAAAGCTCAGCAAATAGCTGTGCACATCAAACTGTGCATTGAAAATGTAGACCACGGTAGCAGATCAGCTAATCTGCCGGTGCTTGTGTGTGTCATTGATTCTTCACAGAGAAATTTTACTTTACCACTCTCAAGCTGGTGGACAGGAGCCTTGAATTTCCTGTATTTTCACTGATGTTCCTTTGCATCACAATATGCTTGACGAGTAACCTTGTGTTACCCATATGAAAGCAACAACAACAACTTATATCCCTCTTAGTTTAAATTGCAGCCTATGATTGACGTTGGTTGAAGAAATAAACACACTATGAATTTTTAGTATGTACCTTTTCTTTGGCACAGGGACAGCACTGCTGTACATCATAGCTGTGTGTTGTCAAGACCCATCCAGGAACATCAGGCTATGTTGGTGTTTACTCACTGCTATTACATCTATTCATCTAGCTATGACCGTGTTATTTTTAGTAAATGAGATGGCTGAAAATCTGAATAAACATATGAAACAAAACAAGAACATCGAGGCTAGATTTTTATTTTATTTTATTTATTTGCTGTCATCCAGTATGAGCTAAAGGTCCTCTCTTTTTTTTTTAGGTTTTCCCAGCTGAAGAGCCTGAACTTGTCACACAACCGCCTGGGTGTGTTTCCTGAATGTGTGTGTGAGATCCTCACGCTGACTGAGCTCAACCTCTCCTGTAATAATCTCCACACTGTCCCTCTACAAATAGGCAACCTTCAAAGGTGTGACACACATATGCATAGCATCACACACAGAACATGAATACACAAGTTAGCTCATGCATGAACAAACAGTACACACACAACTGCACAAAGTAGATTGTAGCAGGGCATGATAAGGTGCACCAACTATTTCCAGAAGGAGTAAATTCTAAAGAGAACCACACAATGAAACTGCATAAGCTGAGTTTCAATCAAGATGTGAAACAACTAATACAGTCACACACATTCCACACAGGTGCATTAAGTACAAAAAATAAATATACACTATGTATTTATACTATAATAATATAATTTGACAAGCAGACATATTTGTCTTTATTATGTCCTTCCCCCTGAAAATCTGTCTGTATTTTCGATGTGTGTTCCTGTGAAGTGCAAACACAACACAATATTTCCACAGTAAATCAACAAATGAGAAGCAGCAACACTGAAGGCTATTGTATACATAATTAATGTCCTCATAAATCCTGAATAAAGGTTTTACTGGGTCATGAACTGAATAAAGTTTAAATATTTTTAAGTCAGACATCAGTCCACTATTCATTCTGTGTATCTACTTAAAGATAATAATAATAATAATCACCTTTATTTGGCCAAGTATGTTACACACACAAGGAATTTGTTTTCCGGTACAGAATCGAGGCAGCCATCTGTGGCGCCAACTCACACTGATGGCTCTAATCATTGGGGGCAACCTGAACCACAGTCGCCCCCATTACTTAATGTAATGTAGGATGCAGCAGACAATGACTGTAACTACACGTGGACACAGGCGGACTCTTTCAAGTAAAGAATGGCTAAGCATGACTGTTCTGTCCTTTTTGTCTTGTAGCCTGCAGACGCTGTCTTTGGATGGAAACCACCTCAGCTCCCTGCCAGAAGAGCTGGGTGGCTTGTCCCAGCTCAACAGCCTGGGGCTCTCCTTCAACAACTTCTCTCATATCCCTGCTGTGCTGGAGAGACTGAGTGCAGTGGACAAACTAGCCATGGCTGGAAACAGAGTGGAGCGTCTGGAGCTGTGTACCGTGGCCAGAATGAGCCACCTGAAAAACATCGACCTCCGGTAAGAGGCCAGCCAGAGAACAAACAGCTATCAGCCTCTGCACTTTCTTAGTCTCTTCTTTGTCTTCCTCCTCTCTCAGCATATCTGCCAGTAATTGTTTGAATAATGTTGAGTCAATATAAGATCTGTAATGTAGAGGGAGCCTACTTCACTGTCAGTCATTCAGTGAATTCAAGGGAAGGTGCGGAATATTTTTGCACTCCCATCGGTCTATAAAGTTCCTCTTTTTTGTTTATTTTTCCAGCACTGGAAGAAAGATAAATGTCCTGCTACAAATACTGCTCTGAACCTCAGCCAGTCCTCCATTCCTCACAAGTCCTCTAAGTCTCACCTTTTATATTGTATTTATAGATGCAAGGTTTTGCTGAGGATAAATATATTTTCGACATTGCCCTTTTTCACACCTACATTCACAACTGGAAACAACAGTGTTATATATTTTTTGGCCTCTTAGCAGCTCCACAGGAACAGCTGGGGACAACATGTCCTGCTCAGGGGAATGCTGACTGATCAAACCAGCATCCACTGCTCCAAGCACATCCTTAACATTAACAATCGTGTTAAGTTGTGGTTTGGCAATCACAGACTATGTTTATAAGGGCAAGGTGCATCTGTGGTGGACTGACAGCTCTCATAAATGAGAAGTTGACTGACCTAATGGAATGCTACAATATTTGTTAATTTTACTATTTATCTCACACAACAGTTTTTTAAAAAATTAAGGAAATGACCATATTGTCATTGTATTTCTTTCAAGATTTATTTTTGGCTTTTATTATTAGTGAGTTGCATAGAGGTGGTATATGGTGTGTTGAACCATTACCAGGTGGCTATGGGGTGCCATTGTCACTGTATTTTGGCCAAATGTGAAACTGCAGTCACATATTCCAGACTGGAAATGTTAGAAGACACATGCTTACTACCATTATTAACTTCTGTACTTCTCAGTTGTTTGATGTTCTCCCACTTAATATGTGCTGATGATCTGTCACTCTAAAATTAAGTAGCCACTCCTGGAATGTTATAGAAAATTTGTGGCCCTAAATAACACTACTATTTTTTGTTTGATTTTAGCAAGTATGAAGAGTGTTCTGAGTATTCAGTGTACTGAGCCTTTTATTTGATGTAAGGTTAATCACCAAAGGCGTTCTCACCTGCTCCATTAGTAATAAGCAGTAATATTTCATTCATTGTGCTCCCTGTTAAATGCAGATTGAATGGGCTGCGCTGGGTGAAAAACGAGAATCTAGAGCCAGTGAGCCATGTGACCCAGCTGGACTTGCGGGATAATTGCTTGGACTCACTAGACCTGAGCTCCTTTTGCAGCCTGGAGGCTCTGCATTGCCAACGCAACCAGCTGGGGACACTCACACTCAGCGGCTTCGCGCTGCGCATGCTCCATGCTAGCAGCAACCGTGAGTCAAACAGAGTGTCAGTTAGCCACTATTGCAGCCCCATTGGATTGTTTGTGTGTTCAGGCTCTTGTTCTTGGTGCAACATTAATTTTATAAGTGCATATGAAAGGTGAGGATGTCTGGTTGCTGATTGTTGCTTCTGTCTACCCACAGGCCTTACAACCATCAACATCTATCCAATCCCTAACCAGCTGACACACATGGAACTATCACAGTGAGTTCTGGCTAAAAATAAGCAGCAGTCAAGAGTTCCAATTTTTGAACAGAAGTTGTGAGGTCTAAAAACAGTGACTTTTGTCTTATTTGTTATTAATGTAGTAAGGCAAAGTGCTTAAAAGATGATGTAACCAAATTTGAATACAAAATTGGAAAAATAATGCAGACATAGTGATGCTAATTATTAGCAGTAACAACTGGACATTGACTTGTTTTTACCATAAGGATACAAATGTGAACTATAAGATATCTTATTATGTTTAAGGAGATATGTAAGGAGCCCCTTAACTCCTTACTTCTAATCAATGCAGGACTGACTTGATATAGAACTTTAACCCCCTCATGCACAGCATTTTCTTCATTTTTGCTGCAAAAAAAAAATGCTGCAGCATGTACATTATGTACATATTTTCCTTAAGGGTTTTTTTGTTTGTTTGTTTCTGAGCCAATTGTGAGGAGTAGGAAAGATCTGTAAAATGTGTTGCAATACAGTGAAAGATCATTTGCATGCTTAAACCTGGAGTTTAAGTGAAATGTCAACTCTGCTCAGTTTGAGTGTTTTTGTCTCTGTGTGCGTGTGTGTGATGAGACAGGAACCTTTTCGAGTACCTTCCCGACTGGGTATGTGACTGCAGAAAAATTGAGATGCTGGACGTCACACACAACCTCCTGTCTGAGCTTCCTTCTAGGTTATTGTTTTGTTTTTTTTCTTTCTGTTGCCAAGCCTGAACATTTTCCTCTTATCCCTTATGTTGCATAATTTGAATTTATTCAGCCTTATGTAATAAACAACTTGATTATCCTGTCCAGAATTAGAGGATCAGGTGTTGCATTTCACACAGTTTAACTGCTCACTATAATGCCAAACTGCTTTTCATAATGCTCATGTAAAGATTTTGTTATGGCAGTGGAGCCATGGAAACAACAAGGCACAAAACAGCTGGTGTCAGTCATTTTGTAGAAGGCAATATCTGTGTCTTTTTTGGTTACAAAAGTAAAACATGACCTTCTGTAGTTCTTGACTGAGAGTTACCATCATTCACTGCCAGTCACAGCCACAGGCCTTGGCATTTCATTTGCTTTCAGGAAAGAATTAAACTGTGCTGCTCTGGTCTGTTTAGGATGTAACGGCCACTGATGGATTAGTTAGCTCCGCCTGATAGTTACTCCACCCCCCAGCTTCACAAGTCTGTACAGGGAGAAGATGTTCCTTGATTCTTTGCGTTTTTGTTGGTAAATGACTTTTTTCATTTTGGACATCTGATGTCTGTTCTGTCCTCTGACAGACTGTTCAACAGCTTGAGTTTGAGAAAGCTGCTGGCAGGGAACAATCATTTGCAGAGAGTGCCTGACCTACTTGACCACGTCCCTCTGGAAGCCTTAGACCTCCAACACAACAAGCTGACTGAACTCCCAGAGAGTCTGTTTTTTAAGGCCTTAAAGTGAGTCCTCTGTACATCTTTATTTCCTTTTCCAGCCTAGCCTGAAGACTATGCTATTAGTTTTGCTTTGAAAATTGCAGTTATGATGCAGCTGACAGCTATTGTCTAACAGCTCATTGTTGTTGAGACGAAGTGTGGATTGGGTGTAGTGACTGTGGTCAAGATCAGTGGAGTCAGGTCGCAACTGGAGCTTCATTTGTCCTCCATTTCCTGTGTGGTAAATCCATTAGCAGTTTGAATGATCTAATGTACTTTATTGTCTCTAATGCTGAAATATCATGACAGTGTCTGCTTTGCGCAGGATGAGTTTCCTGAAATGCTTTTTAAGAGCCGTACAGCTTACAGGGGAAAGCAGTTACACTCAAGGCTGATGAAAACAGAACAAGTAGATAGAAACTAAGTTGATAAATATTTTTCACATATTCATATTTGTGTTGTCTCACTGAAATGTTAACAGTCTTGCAATGTTTATGGGCTGCACAGATAAAATTGCACTTTAATAATGTCTGACTCTGCTTTACAGTGTGAGATGTTTCGCTCCCTCATGGGCCAGAAGGACAGATTTTATTACTGCTCATTATGTGATATACATAATGACTTAATCACACCAAATTACATGAGAACCATTGGAGTTCAAATTACTGTCCCTCCTCTCTGTGCAGTATGTAAAGTAATGCTTCACTTGCAGAGGTGAATTAACAGGTATCTTCAGTACAATGAGAATAAGGAGGGGAAATATAAAATTTGTAGGCCCCTAAAAGCTCTGTAACCCATAAAATGTAGGGTCCTGAAGTGATACCTCAGTCATTACTGCGCTGACTTGGCTGTATCATCTCCTCTGTCTTGCTCACTGATGTCTAATCAAACACATTTGCTGTTTGTATCCACTATTTTTTGGCAAAATCACAGAGAAGGGATATATACACCGTAATTTATGTATATATCGGTGTAGCTCTGCAGCATATGGAGGACAGTTTACTCTGGTGGTCTTTCCAAACGCCAGTATTCTGAATTCTCTTCAGTTTTTCACTGTGGAACCTAGAAGGTGTCCAGTAAACACTGCTTAGTATTCTAATGTGAATATCACTAAATACAAATCGATGCCTCTACTCATCCCCCGCTTTTATAAAAATGGGGACATCCATGGTATATGACAGTGGTCCCCAACCTTTTGCTTGTTGAATGCAATTCTGACTTTTTTTTTGTCTTACCTCACAGCCTAAAATATTTAAATGTGTCAGCCAATGCCCTGGAAAGTATTCCTTCTAGCAGCCAATCAGAGGAGAGCCTTAGCACACTCCAGGAGCTCTACCTGACAGGGAACAGTCTGAATGAGAACTGCGGTGCTCTGTTGGTTGGACACCAGAACCTGCGGGTTCTTCACATCGCCTACAACCAGTTGATCTCCTTCCCTGCCAGGTGTGTTAACTTAGCTTTCATGGTAAATGGCCCACTCATTTTTTTATAGCTTATAAATTACTTTAAAATCTCATTATTATTACAAATCCCACTTTTATAGTGTACCCTTTTTATTACTGAAGTCATTTTAACGTTTTTTCCTGTGCATTATCATGTGTTTTTATTGTCCTGGATTTTATCCTTTTAATCATCCTGTGTTATATTGTATTGCTTGGTTTGCTTTAGCATATCTGCTTTTATGTTTCTGCCTTCGATAAAGTCCTTCATTAACTTAATGGATGCTTTTGAGAATTGCAATAAGAATATAGTTATACACTGCTCAAAAAAATAAAGGGAACACAAAAATAAGACATTCAACTATGTTGTGTTCCCTTTATTTTTTTTGAGCAGTATATTATTTCAGCACTTGTTCTAGTCACTGAAGTTTTTCACTGTCATGTTTTGATGTCTTTAGTAAGCTGAGTAAGCTGGAACTGCTGGAGGAGCTAAATCTAAGTGGCAACAAGCTAAAGACTATCCCATCCACTGTGTCCAGCTGTAAGAGACTGCACACCCTCATAGCTCACTCCAATCACATTACAGTCTTCCCAGAGATATTGAACCTGCCTGAGATCAAGGTCAGACCTATTCCACTTTTATTGGCCGGACCAGTATTTGTATGACTATATTCAGTCTGTTTCAACTCGTGTGTTTTGTACGTCTGTAGCTTGTAGATCTAAGCTGCAATGAGCTGACTGAGATCCAGCTGACTGACTCTCTTCCTGCCACTCTGCAAGAGATAGACTTGACAGGCAACAACAGCCTGATGCTGGAACACAAAACCCTCAACCTCTTCAGGTGAGTCATAAAACCAGACTTGTTTGCAGGTAACTCATTGATATTGGTCGTGCATGCAGTTTAAGCACCAGCAACGTGACTTTAGATTCTGTAATTGTCTGGATGCATATTCGATGTGGTCTGTGGTTCTTGTATGTGAAACATATAACAATATAATATACCGCCCTCAACTATATTTCTTCTCTGTTATTAGTAACATCACCACCCTGAAACTAGACCAGAAATCTACCATGACACCCAGAGACTCACTGAGTGCCTCCACTCCTTGGAACCATGGTTACTCTGAAATGAGCGGCCAAAGGAACAAGTGGGTACTGCTTTGTGCTTCTGTGTGTTTTTTGTTTGTGAACATAGAGAGCATACGTTTTCTCAGCTGCACAGAGTATCTATCCAAATCCCCATATGCAGGTAAATGAAATGACTACATGAATATTAAGTGTTTTTTTTTTTTTTTTAGTTTTACCTTAGTTACATACTTGAGTATTCATTCGTAATCTAAGACAGTCTTTGTAGTCTACACTGACACACACCTGTGTACCTTATATGTTGAACTATGTTCGGTCATGTCATTTGCTTCAGGTGGACTCAAGTCACATTCTAGACACATCTCAGGATTTCAGTTTTTGATTTTTAACAACTGTAGATTGTTTTTTTCATTCATTCATTTTCTACCGCTTAGTCCCTGAACGGGGTCACGGGGGGGGCCGGAGCCAATCCCGGCCGGCAATCGGGCGAAGGCGGGGTACACCCTGGACAGGTCGCCAATCCATCGCAGGGCTCCAACTGTAGATTGGATATACTGTATATCTGTTTGTTTGAACTGAGCAGGTATTCACCACTGAGTCAGTATCTGAAATAGCGGCAGGTACCTAGCACTATCAGGTACTCAGAGTACCTGGTGCAGTGAGGCCGAGTAATTATATTGAATTTAATGCCTGTAAAAATGTTAAGTGCATCACTGCTCCTGTAGGGTCATGGCCACCACGGGGGCCCACACAGGAATGTCTCTTATCAGATGGCACCCCTTGGTGTTTCCCATGACCCTGAGCTGCACTGTTTCATGCTGAAGTATGTATGAGGTTTGCTTTTGTATGCAAGATGCTGAGTCATCTGTTTGTTAATGATGATCTGTCATTGGGAACAGGTTGTGTGTATCTGTGCTGGCTGTAGACCAGTTTAGAGATGGTGTTGAAGCATGTTATGGTATCTTTGACGGAGACCGCAATGAGGAAGTGCCTCGGCTGCTGCAGTGCACCATGGGAGATGTGCTGTGTGAGGAACTGCAGCACTCCAGTGTAGACACTGTGTATATGTGTAACACTTTCCTCACCTCACACAGGTAAGAGTTTTTTTAACTTTACTCTTTTTAAAATACTTTTTAGACTATACGTTATACAACAATTCCACTCAATGCATTTTTTACAATACAACTAGTGACTTTAAAAGGTTGTTAGCAGCATTGTTTGTTTTTTTGTATGAGACAGGAAACTAGGTATGGCTGGCCAGAAACTGGGTGCTTCTGCCTTGCTGTGTTATATCCACCATGAGCCTTCAGATCCTGGAGGCTACCTCAGCCTCACTGTGGCCAATGTGGGCACATGCCAGGCAGTGTTGTGCCGGAATGGCCAACCTGTACCTCTTTCAAAGGTTTACAGTTTGGAGAACTCCACCGAGGAGATGGAGAGAGTTAAACTCAGTAAAGCTATTATTACCAAGGTAATGCACAGTCGATATGTATGTTAGGTTCCAACATCTCAGCAGCACCATGGTGTAGAACTTTTGATGTAGTCTTAGTGTGCAGTTTCATATTAAAGTGAGTGGCGTGACTTGCTGCTCTCGCCTGCTAGGTTGCTCATATCTTTCTCCTTGGGTGCTTCCAAAGCCCTGGGTGCACACTGAGCCTCTCAGTTCGCAGGATGAGTTCTTGATTCTTGGGAATCGAGCGCTGTTTGAACGGGTCTCCTACCAGGAAGCTGTTTACACTGTGCAGGCTGTGCGGGATCCGCGCGCTGCTGCCAAGAAGCTGTGTTCACTCGCCCAGAGTTACAGTTGCAAGGACAACATCGGGGCGGTGGTGGTGTCTCTACATATTGGCGAGGACAGCTGTACCTGTGACCCACCGTTCTCCACCACTGAACCCCGAGGTCCCCCTCCAGCCTCCGTACCTGTTTCTGTGACCTCAGGCCCCACTGACCCAGCCACTCTTTCATCCAGCAGTGGTATTGTCTCTGAGTTCAACAGTGAGACATCAGCCTCAGAGGTGGGCAGCGAGGCAGGGTCCACTGCTTCAGACGAGCACCCATCCGCTGGCCCTGCCTCCCGTCCAGAGAGACGCTGTAGCCTACACCCTGCTACTACACTGTGTGGGATCATGATGCCAGGCTCAACTGGGGCAGGAGCGCACCCAGGCCTATTCCAGCGGCAACCCTCCAGTGCTACATTCTCAAGTAACCAGTCTGACAATGGCTTGGACTCTGATGATGAAGCTCCACTTGAGGGTGTTATCTCCAATGGGAGCAAGTTAGAAGTAGAGGTAGACATTCACTGCTGTGCTTTTCAAATACAATCAGGAATCCTTGAGAGCCCCAAAAACTTGGACCTTGAAAAGCGAGGCTCTGACTATCCCAATGGCAAAATGCGGAGGCAGAACAGTGTGGTGGTTTCTACTACAAATGGCTGCCTGCTGGCTGTATGTGGAAGGGAGATTGCTGACCTCAAGAAATCGCCTTCCACATGCAGCCTGTTTGGGAAGAAGCTGTCCAATGGCTCTGTGGTAGCCCCCGAGGACAGTCATAATCTTATTGAGGTGGCCCTGGAGGCTCCTAAGAAAAAGTCAGGCTACTTCACTGCTCCAGCACAGCAGGACCCTGAGGACCAGCTGATTGTGCCTCCTAGTCTGGAGCAGGAAGTCAGGGAGCAGCTAAGAGGCCAGAGCCCTCTAGTTTCAGGCCCCTCTGCACCATCCACACCACCTTCCTTAAAAGACTCTGTGTGGGATCACCCACACCCCCCTGCATTTGCCTCTCACCTGGTCCCAGGGCCGGGTCCAGCTCCCATCCTACAGCAGGAAGTTTATGATACCGCCCTTTAGAGGGGAGACACAGCGCAGCGCCATGTGGCTGCAATTCGATGATCGTTCCACTCCAGGAGAGAAGAGATTCGCTTACATGTGGAATATTCCAATTCAAGTTGCCATTCAGATCTTTTGTGAGGACAAGACACACCTGTGAGAATGTTATGGTCAGGGATGCTAATGATGAGGTAAAAAAAAGGGTTTGTGTGCATGGTCGGAGTATCCAAGAAAATAAGGGTGAGCAAGATCCCTCTTCATAACATGACTTTGTGAAAGGGATAGCTGGTTATCATAGACCAAAACCAGCCGGGCCTGAAATGGGATACTTTGCGTCATGCCAGCAACATTTTCCTTTACTTGGAAAGTCAAGCAACCTGGAGGGTGTATACAGAATCATCTTCAGTGAGGTCAACTCTCATCTCCAGGGGCCCCATGATCTTTCAGGTCGTTGAGAGAGCCCTGTCTCTGAACTTGAAAAAGTGCCTATTGCGGACAACCCAGCCTGGAGCTCCCCCACATCTGGTCTGTGAGCTTGCTACTCACATTTAGAGGAGGGACAGTGTCTCCACGAGATCAGCACTGGCACACTTTCTGCTCTCCTCTTCTTCCCGTGACTTACAGAGGAAACTAGAAAGCATATATGATTGAAGGTATTTTGGACAAGAAGATGTGAAGGAAAAGTAACTGCACTTACATTGCCAGAAATGTTATGGTTGGGTTTTATTTTTAACATTCCCGCACAATATGTATAGAAGCTTCTAGTATATAGAATAAATTAATTCTATACAATGTAGTACACACTCACAACTAGCAGCCAGCTGATGTGCTGTGCCTGAGCTGCTCAAAATGATGGCAATGCACCTTGAATAGCTGTCAAAAATGATAATAACAAAGTCATTCATCTGTACAGAGCTGATATGTTGTAGAGTTCAGAAACCCTTTTAACAGTATAATCTGTAACAGTGCATGATCAAATGAGCTCCTTAAAATCTACATTGAGGAAAAGTCAGTTTTACAGTCACTGGATAGTTGACTGGAGACCCCAGGATGTTTCAATATATTTCAAGTTTGGTCAGCTGAGCATATCAGCCAAGGCACAAAAGTGAATTATTACACAGTGTACTGTCAAGAGATGATGGGTGGATACAGTGTTTGTATATTCTGTATCTTATGAAGTATCTCCACTGGTACTAAGATTGTACCTTTAGTCTGTCCAAACTTTATCAGAAGTTAGCCTTTTAAATTGATAAACTTCCGTTTTTTTCCCTGGCAGATTTACTTATTGAAATTTATATGTCCTTGGAAATCTTAGCTCTCTAATGTATTACATATGTAATTAGAACATTTTCAGGGTGTGTTATATTGGCCCAATATTAACAGAACTGAAACACGAATGTCTTGTGTTCTTTAAGATCTGATTTGTGTCTACAGGTCGTCACAAAGCTGGGAGCAGATCCCATAGTTCTGCAAGCAAGTACAAATGTGTAGGACATAAGAACAAATTATGCCTTGCTATAATTTGATATTGCTCTTTTTTTCTTCCCACATATTGTATCTCTATTCTTGATCAGGGGGCCAATGTTTCTGTAGAATTTAACTCACACATTAAATATAAAAAAATATTTCCAGTGCAGCACCACTGTAAGGAAGTGATTCAAAGGAAGGGATGTATTTTCTCCTCTTTACAGTACAGTATTACAGTGTGTTCACAATCATTTTTCTCTAGTTTATCTCAGCAGAAGGCTGCTTGTGAAAAGCTACATTATTATTTGAATGATCTCTTAAACAGTATTCAGCCCTGGAAACCTCAGTTTGCTCATTCCTGAACCTCCCCACCGAGTGCCAAAATCGAAAGCAGCTCTGCTGTGGTTATAAGGAGGCCAAAGTTGGGTAATTGCTTATGTCAGTGATTACTACATTAGATGAATATTTTTGATTGCCACTGGACCTTGCAGTGTTCCCTCTTTGGCCTTAAAATAACAGAATTTTTAAAAAGGTGAAGCCCTACTTTTCATTCTGCTTATGCTGTGTTTGTGACTGAGGTCTTTAGCTCTTGTGGTGTTGTTTATTAAAGCAACCCGTCTGTTCTTACTTACAGCCAATGATGAAGCCTTAAAGCCTGATGTGCAAGTCTGAGTCTATTGTTGTTATATTTCCTTGAAACAAATAAACACTTAACCATCCACTGATAGAAGCACTTTGTACATGGAAAATAATGATATTCAGAGTTATATATGATTCAATATACGAAGTATTTGACAACATAGTGTGCTGAGATAATTGTGACTTTCCTCAGCTCAACATACTGTATCACCTCCTGTCTAAGAACACAGCCAATGGAAGTGATGATAGTGTAATGTGACATAACAATTTATTTACAACTTTTTGATGTGTTTGTGTTTTTATTATGATAATCAGTTATTTTATTAAATATGTTTTTGTTTGCTCTCCGTTATGTCTTAATTTTCCACAACAATGACATGTAATGAAACAGTAGTCTAAGATAGAAATTTCACATTAAAGCACTGGCATTGCCCTTTTTATGCTCATTCAGACAATAATTTCAACTACAACTTTGGATTTTTCTAAGACTAGCAAATGGAAACCATATTTTATAAGAAGCATAACAATTAATTTCCAGTCATGTTACTGAACAGACTGTGCAGTGTCTGAGATGCCAAACACCTGGGACCCTTTGTATTATTGACTGTGGCCAGAACTCCACTATTGGAACAGGCATGTGGCGTCAGACATCTGGACTGATGGCCACTGCAGGTCTACCTGCCACAGGAGGGGCTAGAAAACCTGTAAAACACATTATGAATGTGAAATTGGAAGGAGAGGGGAAATCTCTTAAGGTTCCAGACAAATAGTGGCGTTTACAACAGCTGTTGGGAATTCCCTCATTTAAATATGCAACGTGTCAGCTGTACATATACTTGTACTGTGTGTCACAGCTTCAGTTTCCATCACCTGCAACTACAGTACAAGAATGCTGTTCCTTAATATGGAAGAAAATTAACATTGAATTGATGTATGTATGTTCTTGGCATTGTGGGTGTGTAAGGTGCATTCCTCTTGTATTATCATATTTGTATGTCCTTTCCTTTGGCTCATTTGCAGGGTAGTTTGATTGGTTTGGTTGCACTATGTTATACTACTACATATAGTGTTCTTCATTACTACGTAGGGCTGTTTTTTGTATACAGTTGTACACTCACTGTACATTAATTCTGTCTGTCTCCTGGGTGGCGCCATATATTCACACACCATTCTGTCTGAAATACATTTTCAAGATGAAACATATTTGAATAATGATCCATTAGTAAACTGATCAGTATGCATGTATATATGCCGACTGTGTGAGTAGATACAAAAAAGGGAGCACAGGGTACAGTGCAATGGCTTAAAATACTCCCTTTAATTTTTTTGTGAAGGGGTTCCAGTAGTAAAATGTTCATAATCCCCTTTGTGCACAAAAATAGAAGGTGTGTGCATTTGAGTAGGTTGTGTTAGTGTTTTTTTTTTGTTTTTTTTTACTAAATATTAATTTATCAACTTAAAGATAATTTCCTCCCTGCAGAAGTTACCTAGCTCCCTGTACACTTAAAGTATATTTCAAAATGTCTGTTTGTGTGTATGTAAAATGAAGCTTAAGTGCAGATGTATAGTAAGTGTATGCATGCCTGGTGAATAATGGATTGACTGTAACTGGGCGTGAATATGGTGAATGAAACTGATTGAAAATGCTCCAGTTGTTCCAGCTTTTTGACAAAAGTAGCCATTGTTTAATCCCAAGGTTCCTTTCTGTACATGATTTTCTAGAAATGCTTGAATATTTTTTTCTCAGTGCCAAAAAGCTGATGTTTATTTTTTTACTTCATTATTTCATGCAAATTTATATTTCCCTCTCCACTACAGAATTTTAAGTGACTGGGATTGACATCTCATTACAATACTTTATTCAAAGGTACCAAATAGAGTTGTATTCAGTGTTGAAAGCATGCCCTAAATATGTCATAAAAACATAGAGTACATACAAAATGTGATTATTTTGTACAAAATGGAGCAGATCTAATATTTTTTAAGTTTCTATTTTAGCATGCAGATAATTGCTAAAATATAGTTTTATGTTTAACAATTAAAAGATTGATTATTTAGGTACAGGACAACACTTTTTCTGTTCCATTAAATGTTAAGAGTGGAAGATGGCTTTTGTTTTATTTGAAATGTTGCTATTATTAGTTTTGAGCGGACAAGCAGTTTTTAAATTAAGCCAAGTAGCAATAATTTTTTTTACTCTGTTCTTTTTTTGTCCAGTGTCCATTTTGCTCACCATTTTTATGAAGATTTCATGCCAATAAATATGATCAAAATGACTTTTTTGGTCAGTAAAAGATATGTCTGTAGTTTGTCATTTAAAAAATCTTGAACTATGTTGTAATAGAAAATTATTTAATTGCATTTCTGCAAGTTTCAAAAGGGTTTCTATTGATGTTTTCTCTTATTAAATTCTCCTTAATGTTCAGAAAACAGTGCTCAGTTCAGAAAAATGAATGGGAAGAAACAGAACACTTGCTGCTGCAGAAATACAGTATCTGCAATCAATTTCCTTAAGTTGAAGTCACACGTAAAGTTCTGAACACTGCCATCTATTGGTGACGTTTAGAATGGCAGTAGTATAATGGCTGGCAAACTACAAGGAAAAATGAGATTAAATATTAAACAGTTCCTAGTATTCAGTTTTTCTTCTAAAGTAGCCATGGTTCAGTCATTGAGGATTTTGTCCATTTGTGTGAGGAATCCTATCTGCAACTAAATACAACAAAAACTAAAGATATGCTCATAGATTTTAGGAGGAAACCTCATAGGCACGAAGTCACTTTATTTAAGGGGCAGACTATTGAATATGTCCAAACATACAAATATCTGGGGATGATCGTTGACAGCAAATTGAGTTTTGAGGAGAACTGTGAAATGGTGTGTAAAAAGGGTCAGCAATGTCTGCATTGCTTAAGGAAACTGGCATATTTTCATATTGACCGAACCTTAATGAATATGT